ATAGTTTATGAATGAAAAACATTAAAAAAAAAAAAAAGAATTTCGAAATCCGTTTTCAGAAACCGGAGTAATTTTAAAAATACGACAAAAACTAAATTGTACAATAAAGTTGCAAATGACTCATATAGTTCAATTGTTTGCAAAATAAAATGGTGAATGAATATTTTCTGAGTATTCACCGAGTAAAAATAATCAAAAAATTGTTAGTAGAGCTCATATGAGTACTCATGGATGAATTATGAGTAAAGTCGTACGCATAGTATAAATACTTTCACTAGGGTGTTTTTCTAGATATCCTCATTTACCAGTATTATCAATATTGACAAAAAATAATCGTTTAATATATCTCCCAATGGAATTATGCGATGTTGAACCTATTCGTAGTAAACGTTTGACAACAGATCAAATACGAATTTTGTGTGACAAAGCATCGAAGCCACCTACTGAATATGTACAGAACATCATGCATGTTCGAAATGTAGAACAAAATTTTAATGATGATCCATTTGTCAAAGCATGGAATATTAATGTTGACCCTCAAATGCTAATGATACCGGCACGTGTGTTATCAATGCCCATAATTCAGTATGATCAATATAAGGTACAAAACGGTAGCAAGCCAGGCGTATGGACGATGGGAAATGGTGTCCAATACAGAAAACCAGCACCATTTCCGAAAATATGGGCAGTGATCAATATGTCACCTAATCTTCGTGGAAATGATGTGAAGAGCTTCTGTATAGAATTAATGAAACGTGCGATACAACGTGGAATTAAAAGATTTTCTTTACCAGCTATCTATGAAGAGTGTGGTGATACAAATTCAATTATAGAATGCATCCAAGAAATGGTGAAAATAAATTGTGATTGTAAATTTATATTTCTTATACTTCCTGAATATAATGTCCAATTGTATCAACTTATTAAAACAGTTTGTGAATGTCAACTGGGCATTATTACAGGGTTTGTTATCGAAAAAAATGTTAAGAAAAATATGTATAATGGACGAGAAGTATTCAATGTACCGGTTATAGAACATTTATTACTCAAACTTAATTCAAAATTAGGTGGAATTAATTCAAGTGTTAAAACACAGTACGTTGAATTATCTTGAGGTATTTATTTTCAAACTGAACTATTTTGTTTTTGTACGTTTTAGTTCTGTTATTGAAAAGTTTTTTTCTCGTGGTCATCGTATTATGTACGTCGGTATTGATTTAAGTTATCCGGGACCGGGTCTATTGGATACTGGTCGAAGAGCGAGTGTGGCTGTTTGTGCATCAGCTGATGACATTCCATATCGCTATTTCAAACAGTTACGTGTACAATTTTATCCAGCTAAATTGAAAAATGGACAAAGTTTAGAAACAATTGTCAATTTAAAAGAAATAATGATAAAATTAATTGAATCATATAATGAATTAAATCATTATCCGCCAAATGCAATTGTCATCTATCGTGATGGAATATCAGATGGCGAATTTGATACGGTAAATTAATATTTGTACAATATTATCTTTAGAAATGGTTAACTTGAGCAAGAGATAAATTAGGATATATGATAAAAATTGAGTAGAACGATTTTTTTTCATCAAAGAGTTATTTTTTCTAGATATCTTCGAATGAATTAGATGCAATTCGTCATGCATGTTCTAACTTTAGTGATGCCTATCGTCCATCTATTACATATACTGTTGTTCAAAAACGTCATCACACTCGTTTTTTTATCGAGAACGATAATCGACCAGGTTTTAGCAATGTGTTAGCTGGTACAGTTATCGATTCTCCAGAACTCATCAGTTCATCTACAAAGAATTTTTATTTAAATAGTCATGCTTCACTAAAGGTTAGTATACAAGTTAGGGAATATTTCAAAATTGTTTACTCATTTATTTTCTACTTTACTCCTTTTATATCTTACTCTTTTCCTACTTTCTCACTTGCACATTCGCTACATAGTCTGACAAGAAAACATATAGACATGTCTGACTCCGTTTTTAATGATTCATACCTCGATCGATATAGTATATCGAGATTGTAAAATGCCTCTGGCCCATGGCATTTCCTTCGAAAATTATAGGCATTTTTCTATTTTTCCTAGCGAAAACTAGCAAAAATAGAAAAATTCATATCTCTATCCAGAAGAGGAGTAGAGAACTGAATTTTTTACCTGATAGACTACCAGATGTCTACTACATACACTGAAAGTTTCACCCTTCCATCACTCTCCCTTCCCAAGTCATTTTTCACCATAGAATTTTCCATTAGAATAGAAAATTCTATAACTTGCTATGGACCCGAATCTTTTTATGCTTTTTACAACCTCGATACACTCTATCGATCGAAGTGTGAATCATTGAAAACCAATTCAGGCATGTCTATATGTTTCCTCATGGATAGAAATATAATGACGTCTATATATGTTTCTTTTCTCTGTTAGCATGTACTTGCATGTATATACGACGTTGTTTTTCTCGTTCTTCTCCCAGTTATCTACATGGAGATATATATATGTCAAGAAAATGAACATAAACGTTAGATATGAGCGTTTTATCGCCCAGGTGAAGACTTCATGTTAAATTCGTACTCGTAACGAGATGAAAAAACGCTTAAATGCATCTAGTATAGCTGTTTTGAACTCGTACGAGTTCAAAACAGCCACCCTATGCGGGTGAACCACGTCGTGTAAGACCTTGCAAAATCTGATGTTTTCTTATGAAATTGTGTAGTAAGATCTTACAATATGATCTTACAAGATCTTGTTATAAGATAATGTAAGGTCTTATAGAACCTTGTATCTTCTTGTCGTAAGATCTTTCTTGATCTGATTATAAGAAGTGAAAAGATCTTGTAAGATCTTACATAACCTTACGGCAAAAAAATATACCCAAGTCAAAAAATGAGATCAAGATCTTATAAAATCTTACGGAAAATTATAGAAACGGATTCATCTTATAAAATCTTATAAAAATCATACAAGAATCTTACGAAGTCTGATGAAATCTTACTATAAGATCTTACATCAAGAATCAGTTTCTATGTTTCTTACAAAATCTTACAAATTGTTAGATGAATCTTACGAAATCAGACGGAATCGTACAAGAATCTTATAAGATCGTACAGTAAGATTCTTTGATCTAGGTATGAACTGCACGGTTAAGAAACGTGACAAAAAACGGTTATATCCAGATCAAAGAATCTTACTGTAAGATCTTATAAGATTCTTGTACGATTCCGTCTGATTTCGTAAGATTCATCTAACAATTTGTAAGATTTTGTAAAAAACATAGAAACTGATTTTTGATGTAAGATTTCATCAGATTTTGTAAGATTCTTGTAATCCATCCCGATAATAGAAGAACATCCCGTATTAGAAGACTATTGCCGATTATAAGACTTGGAAGTGAAATAGAATATCATGGTCTTCTAACCCGTAGAAAACTACTGATCTTCTATTATGTTTAAAAAAAATTCCGGAAAATGTCCTATTTCGCCAAAATGTACTTCTGATAGGAGATGCACCTCAAGTACGTTGGGATTACCATTGGACTACTAACAGGCGACAAAATTTCACCGTAGTAGAAGACCACCCTTTAGAACTCAACTTGCGGGACAAAACAGACGACCAGGCACCTTCTATTATGGGGGAGGTTTATGATTTTTATGAGATTTTATAAGATGAATCCGACTTTCCGTAAAATTTTACAAGATCATGTAAGATCTTGATCTGATTTTTTGACCTGGGTATGGCCGCCTAGGACCTATGAATGTTAGAAATTATATAGAAAAAGAAAATTGCAGTGGTATAGAGAAATTCGACAGGAAATTATCAAGAGTATGATCTTGTAAGATCATATAAAATCTTGTGACTTGCTATAACGTCGTATAATTTCTTACAGTTTCTTTCTGTAAGGTCTTATAATATCATACAAGATCTTGTACGTTCGTGTCATCAGAAAAATCTTATAAGAATCTTGGTACAAGATGTCATATGAAATCTCGTAAGATCGTATAGGAAATTGTTAAGATTTATAAGATCTTTTGAAATCTTGTGATTTCTTATCATATGATTCTTCTCCAAGATTGTGTATGGTCTTGTAAGATCTTCCGAGATCCTGTTATATGATTCTTGGATCTGGGTGGTAATGTACCGTCGGTAATGATAAAAGACCTTTTTTACCGAAGTGCACCGCTGACAAATTTTGAGATTTTTTACCGGTTAGAAGTTGATAAAAATTTGAAGTTGTTAGCGTCGGTAACGATCGGTAACACGTTTTACCGTTACCGCCCATCCTTGATGAAGATGTCAGAAATTAGAGTCGTATCAAATAAGATATATCAGAATTTGTTTTCAGCAGGAGCATTTTCTGTTTTCTTGTTCTTTTGTATCAATTTGTATCAATCCTCAAAGTGAACAGAAACAGAAAATGCATGTATATACTTAGGTAAAAGGGTAAAAGGGTAAAATAGAAAACGATTAAACTAGCAAATAAAGAGTAAACAATTTTGAAATGCTCCCTCACTTAACTATGATTTTAAGCTGTCAATCGTCTCTTTTTCTTTTTGTGAAGGGCACTAATCGTCCCGGTCATTATCATGTTCTGTATGATGACAATAATCTGTCAGCTGATCAGATACAAATGTTAACATATGCTCTCTGTTATACGAATGCTCGTTGTACAAGATCGGTATCAATACCGACTGTAGTAAAATATGCTGATATGTTGGCTACACGTGCTGCTTTTTATTCAAAAGACTTTGGGTATTTTGTTTTTAGTTTAATTTATATCTGAGTTCTATAAATATTTCGTCATTCTAGAGCGCCAGCACGTGAACCCCATGATAAATCGATTCATAGCATACAAATCAATCTATCTGATGGATTAGCCCCTGATTCAATATTTTTCGTTTGAACAAAATTATAATAATTAATGGTCAAATATTTATTTTATTTTTATATTTTCTATATTTCGGTATTTTTTATGTTTTTAAAAGACCCTAGTGAATGCACTTGCATGCAGGTACTTGGTCAAGTATCCCCCAAGTTTTTTCCAACATTCCTGAGCTTTTTTGCAAGTAAACTAAGTACTTACCACGAAAATCAAGCACTTGAATTATCTTATCTTCTTGTCAAGTTCTTTGCCAAGCACTTGTGCAAGTAATTCCAAGTACCTGTAGAAGGTTCAGGAAGTAAATCAAGTAGTTGGCAAGTATTTTCAGGCATTTATCAAGTATTATTTTTTGAAAATACTTGTCAAGTAGCCACGTAAACTTGCAATTAAACAAGTACCCACTCACGAGTACATTCACATAGGGAGTTTTATATGTATTTTTAAAACATATTTTATTTTTCCTTCTTAAACTATAAATATGTGTTTATTTTGCAAATACGAAGAATGAAAATTTTGAAGATAAATCTAAGTATATTGACAGCAGCGTTAAAGAAGGGATCTGCAGAAGGCTGATAATCGACCCACCTTATTTTTTTGTCTAAAAGGATTGGTGAGCAGTAGAAAAGTATTATCAGGTGATTTTAAGTCATTTCGCCCGTACAATTTCGGTAACTAAAATCCGAATAATTCCTCGTCAATAGGGCACCAAAAGCTCATTCGTCAAAGATCAGCTATAGGTTACGTAAAAGGTGTTTTTCTCATGTTTCTTTCATGTAAGCGACAAAGTAAATATATCAGTGAATAGTCCCGAAAATTCTCTACAAAATGTGTGCGAAATGTTACATGTTCAGAATTTCAAAATCGATGGGACCAATTTAGAAAATGGTCCAGGAGTAAATCTACTGGGAAAAAAGGCTACATACTTTCAGCTTCTTCTATTTCTTACACTAATAAAGAAACAAGTAGGTTTTGTGTCATATACCACTTAAAGCTTGTCGAATTTCCTACAAAGTAGGCTACGTATGATATATTGGCCAGTACGTTCATCCACTAGTCAAATATTACCAGTTATTAAATTATTATCAAGTAATCGCATGTATGCAAAAAACGTCACAACAAAATCGGATCTTATTCATTGCTTTCCACCTCATCATGAGTGCTTATGCCTGAATTACGAGTTTTGTGAAAAACGTCTAAGTATGCAAAATGATGTGAAAGTCACTGTAATTCTTGTAAATTTTGTAAAACTATTGAATAATAGACCTTTGTACACTGCACTCTTGCACAATTGCACGTTTCAACGCACTGTCAATGCGTTTCTCAACTCAGATACAATTTGAAATTGTATCTCAAGTCTCACGAGAGAACCTCCCGAGGTGATAAATCGCTTTTTGATCGACATCTAGTGGGTTATAGGTTATCGACCATGCTGATCCCGAATATGGCCATAGGACTTCCCCATAGCTCTTAGAAGAGCCCTAAATCAATTTCTTCCTTCTTATTTCTGTAGGTTTGCGCTGACAATGAATAATTTAGGGCTCTTCTTATAAATTCTATAACTTTGCACAGAAAGGTCGTGTAGAGCTGGGGGATGTTTCATTTTAATCAGAAATTTGTACGCTACAATTCTGAATTGTTAAGAAAGGCTTGGGTTGTTTTTTGGGGTTTCTGAAAACCTGGTTTTCCAGAAGACTGGATCTTCGAAGAGTTATGGGAAAGCCCTATGGTCATATTCGGAATCAGCATGGTCGATAACCTATAACCCACTAGATGCCGATCAAAAAGCGATTTATCATCTCGGGAGGTTCCCTCGTCAGAGAAACGAATATTTTCGCAGAAATAATGGTTTCTCAACTGAGATACTTTAAATTAAATATTAAAATATGAATTGTATCTCAGCTGAGAATATAATTTGTACCAGTTACGACGTTATGAATTCTTTGTCGCAAAGAACCTCGAATTTTCAACAAAAAAGAGCTATCCTCTCCCGTAAAACAGCTGTATTTCACTGATTACTAACAACCAACTCGCAAAAGTCATAACCAAGATAACCGAGGCCTGTCTGATTCGTAAGGCGTAACGATTTTAACGTGTCTACGACTTCATGCGAAGAGTAACAGGATGAAAACGCGCGGCTTTAGACTTTCATAGCATTATGGTTTTAAGACGTAAATCTTAAAATCGTAGAATCGTAAACCGTGGAACGTTTACGTACTGTTCCTCAAATGAAGCTGTAGACGCGTTATAGTCGTTACGGCTTTTACAGATCGAACATGTATGAGATAACCTTTCTAATTGGGTGGAGTTTTTTCTAAATTCGAAAAGGTTAGGGAACAGTTTTCTGATGGCTTGTATTGTGAGATTTTTGCGGCCTTCGAGAAACATTTACGACCAAACACTTTTATATATTTTTGTACTAGACACTTTGCTCTTTCTAAGAAAAAAAAGGATAAAATCTCTACAATATTCCATCGCAATGCTATATCAAAAGCAAAACTAATGCAGAAATTTTGCCTCACTCGCTAAGTAGTTAAATCAAAAAAGTTGAAAGAGACTATCACTTTTTAAAGGGATTAGTTTGATTAAATGATTATTCATAGGATTCAACATTACTTTTATCTCTCATTCTTAAAAAGCTGTTTTTCCAGAATAATTAGTTTATTTTTAATGTATTTTTAAGACAAAATTCTATGTTTTTCTTCATCATACATAAAAGGCCATTTTTATTTGTTTCAAATAAATGTTGAAACTTCTACATAGTACATCGAAAATAGATCAGGAATGTAAATCAAATTTTTTCGTTTGTTTTGTATTCAGGGTGAACTTTAAATTGCATTTGATGATGACTTAGGAGGAATTTATCATATAAGGCTGTTTTTACATCTTAATAAATTTTTACTATGCATATAAAACAAAGTAATATGTGCTCTACATGTTATGTGTTTGAAATTTAATCATAATTAAGCGAAGATTTATTGAGCGTCAATTTGGATTTTATTTTAATAAAATCTTTTTTTATAATTTTGTATTTCAACCACCTAAATTAGAATCATTCTGAAAATCCATTTCAAACTGTCTAAATGATAGTTTTTTGTACGTTTTTTAATAAACTTTTGATCAAATATTTTGTGTCTTTACCAAATTCTCAAAATTGCTGTTGTGTCTTACTTTTATAATTCTTGTTTCACAACGAATGTTTGCTCTTTTCATTTAAAATCAACGTTTCCTGATATAATATTCACATAACAATTGCTGTTGTTCAACATTGAATACCATATTAACCCTTTCGTGCCGAGACCCGTGTATATACGGGGAAAAAAATTCAGAAAAAATTCACCCGGCACGAAAAGGTTAAACCATGAATATATTCTATAAGCTGCTATACCCAATGGTAATCTGAAGTATATGTTCGATATTAATTCATTTTCAACAAATCTATTCTTTCTTTCTTCACCTTTTAATTCGAGAACATCGTCTCTAAGATTATCATAACCTTTGTAAGTTGACATACCACCGAAAACGAAACCAGAGTTAATGTTGGAAACTATCTAGATATTCTGTAATTCAAAGCGGAGACAATTTGAGTGAACAACGGTACAGGAGCGATGTATTATAATGTCAGTAACCCATTAGGTACAATCGTGCAGCAATAAACTAACAGTTTGAATAAAACATCTTCAACCTTATATTGTACCTCATTGATTATACTACGAATAAACTTTAAGACGTTTTGCTGTCGTTCAGTTGTATTTTCCAGATTGTAGAAAACGGTGTTTCACATACGAAGATAAATCCAAATTATTCATTATGTGATTTAACCATACAGCATACCAAGGGGCATTAAATAAGTAACTTGTTGGAGTAGTAGTAGAGAATAAATAAGTATGAATCGAGTATAGCGGTTGCAGTTCTATACTTGGTTTAGACTTGCCAAGGAGCATAGTTCAACGCACGTAGAACCAAGTAATTTTTTTTCTGGTTCCACCTTCTCCTATGCATAGATTGAATATATCCTTATTATTATACTTTATATTTCCGTTTAACATACCAGGTGGAATGATAACGCTCTCCATGTTCGAAAATTCCTTACGTTTCAAATTGAACTTACTTTTTTTAGCGATGTTAAGAAAGTTAGTAGGAAAGAACAAGTCATTTGGTTGGTCGAATAAATCATCATAGCATAGACTTTACCGCGATACTACCTGATAAAGGGATGCTGCATCGAGTTTTTCTGTGGCGATGAATTGGAGATAATCATAAGTGAGATAGTTCGTATAGTTGTATCTGCAAAGGAAGGAAAAACCTTCTTGATCGTTGTGCCTGATCAGGATTATTTGAACAAAAGTATCTATTACAACGCTGGTTGGTGTATTGGTTTTCGCACAACTGAGCAGTTGTGCACGTTAATCGATGTCTTTCTTGTCTATGTTTTTTCGATGTCTAGTCAACGACAGTGGTATTACAACATATAATGCTAAATCTCGATCTATCCTGTTGTGTAACCTAACCCGTACATTTTTGATAAATAAATTAGTGTTTGGGTTCGGTTAATTAAACGATTCGTGTTACATCTTGCTCTGTTTAAAAATGTTGGTGAGAAAAAAACAAGTCGCATCAAGCATATTGTTCAAATCAGTAAGATCTTGAATTGCAGTGCTAGATACTTAAACCTTCGACAGACCTAGGCCTACATGGCACATAATATCTCAGTAGATCCTGATTTCGTTAAATACAAATATATTTCTCCACTGACGAACAAAGCCAGTTCAGCTATATATTTTGTAAATGTTCGTTTTAGAATTAGCATTCGATTCTATTGCTTTTTTATATCACGTCTTGGGTAGTACACGTATCTATCGTATAATTTCGAAAGAATGAAAATAAATGTTTGAAAATAAAAACTTATATTAAAGAACCTTGCAAATAAGTAGATATCTCTTTTCGTATATATTTCTGTCCTCTTCTTTTTTGATCAACCAGTGGAGACGCACATGGGATATTTTATGTGGAAAGAGATATCT